TTGGGGGGCAAAACACTGACAACAGTGGAGCGTCTCACCCAGCCCCGGTGGGTTCGACGCTCGACTGAGGCGGTCGTGGAGACGCATAGCTCTGTAGGCATTCAATCCGCCACTGGGCACGTGTTGGCGGACGGCCCGTGTTGGCGCACGGTGGTGAAGCCAGGCTTCGTCGTTGGATGAAGCAAAGAGAACGGCGGCTCTGATGGTTCACTGTTGAGAACGGCGGACGTTGGAAGGCTTTGGACATTCGAGAAAAAACAGTTGGAAGGTTTTCTTGTGCCACCTCAAGACATTGGAAGACATTGGAAGATAGAACAGTTCGAGGGTTTTCTTGTGTCACCTCTCCTTTGGGTTGATTGGTTGGACAGTTTTTCTACACGCCGAAATTCTATGGCAGGTTCTCTGGAATTGTGAGCCACTGATCAAAACTGACAACGGCGACTGGCCGTCAATCTAGTGATTAGGAATTCTGTGGTACGTGGGTGACCTGGTTACTTTCAAGTCACCCAAAAGGAATTTGGTCTTTATGGCCCATGGCCGTGCCCTGTCCAGATTCTTATTTTGACTTGCGCTGCAGATGCTCTAGAATGTTTTGAATAAAGTTGTTTTGCCACACAGTCTCAAACCACGTGGGCTTTCACTCTCCCGCTGTACCTCCCAGCACACTTCAGTCCACACGGCTCCCTTTTCATTCCCCAGGCACAACTATCTCTACACATCAGGATTTCCAGGATTCCACCAGATTTGTCTCGTCCGGACCAGCCCCGAGGCCGAAGCGGCGGTGGCCTCGTCCACCATGGCGGAGCGGATGCTGAGGAAGCAGAACTTCCTGGCGCAGCTCACGAAGAAGGGGTGGCTTGGAACATGGGGAAGACATGTTACGGCATGAGGAAGGGGGGTCGGTCACGGGCTTGCTGGTACCACCGAAACTGGCAACGGATTGGCGTCGGCCACGTCCAGGGAATACCACACGTTTTGCTTTCGATGTGGAAGAAACTCTCCCTTCGTAGCTGAGTAGCTGTCAAACTGCATGTCTCTTCTGTGCCTGTTTTTGGCCTCTGAAGATCTGCTTTTTGGCCTTCGAATTTCGGACAAAAACGGTCGTGGGAGCGGGTCTCCAATGAGGGACCCCATGGCCGGCTGGGTCGACTGTGTTTCGAGGAAGACCTCCACGACGGCCTCCCTCTTTGCGCCTCGGCGGCCGTTGGCCTCGGCGTTTGGCCTCGGCGAACACTAGGACGTTGGCCTCGGTGGTTCTGAGGCCCCGACGAAGCACGCGGGCTCCGGGCTCACGACAGATGCCCCATTTCCGGAGTCGTTCAGCAAGAACATCTTCAGCAAATCTGACATCTTCTGCGAAGTTGCCCATTTTTGGGGGTCGACCTTCCGGATGGCCCCATGGCCCGAGAAGGGGCCCAGTCAGACACGGCGGCTGTAAGCGAGGGAAAGGTCCTAAGGTAGCAAAATAAAATAGCTCATTTATTTTGCCCACTCACGGTCCACTTATGACCTCCAAAATTAATAGTGAACTTTAATTTTGGTCTTCTTCTCATTCATTCTCACCATTAATTTTATTCATTCCCTTTGCTAAAATTAATGGTGTTCATTCATTCTTTTTATTTATTTATTGCATTTCTTTATAAAATTAATAATCCCTCAATTTTATAATATAGAAATGCAATCTCTGGCCATAGATTTTCATTTACATAAAAATCAATGGTGTTTACGCTGTCAAAAAGCGTATATTAACATGCTAGTCACTATATATTTATGGGCTGTTAATAATCTTTGGTTCGCAAGAAATTTTCCTAATGATGTTTCCACAGCCCAATTTTAATATATTTAAGTGGCATTAATTTATTAAAGAACAGATATAAATAATTAATGTCACAAGTAAAAGAGATAATAAATATATAGGCTACCCCATGACCTCGAAACGTTAATAAATTAAATTTTCGATCATGATGGTAGATAAAAGATAATATTAATCCTGGAAATCGAGGGAGATGTCGTAAGTTGTCTTTATGAGATTGTTCACCCTCGATTTCCTATTCTCTTTATATTTCTTATTCATTCCCATGGATTTTTATAATAAAGAAATAACAAATAAAAATCCATGGTCATTCTATTATTCATTCTATTATCGTGATTCCATCTTTAATTACTAATGTTGGAAAGTCAATTGCTAGTCATATATTAATTCCAAGGGTTGCCAAATATTTTCGTATCCTCCTCCTTTTTACTTATGAAGTTTACCCGGCAACCCAATTTATAAGATATTACATTAATAGCCGATCATTCTCTAATATTAAAAGAGATATAAATGAAATGGAATGATCGGCATAATATATTTCTTTTATCTATTATCTCTGCCTCCTAATTTTATAGTTCTTTTTGTCGTGACGACCCGGTTGAGGTGGGTAACAAAGCGGAAGGCACGGCGCGCTCCGCGGAAGCGCGGCGCTCCGCGGCGCTCTGCGGGGGTCCTGGCATTGTCAGGTGCCGAAAGGACCGGCACAACAGAGGACGTCTCCAACTTCAACTTCCTGTACACTGAAGCTATTAGTAACAAGTGCCACGCTAGTAGTAACAGGTGCCTTACTAGTAGTAACAAGAAGCTATTAGTAAACTTCCTGTACACTGTACACGTCCAGCGATGCAGTTCAACCCTGGGCAGTTCGTATTTTTTCGCAATGAACAGCTGCACTGGCAGATACACAGCTGCACTCCATCGGTCCCAACCAAGCCTGTTGGCCAGTGTGTTTGATGCTGCACCGAGTGACCTAGTTTGGCACTTCCACCCCATAATTGTCTTTTTCTTCCACCACCTTTACAACGACAATAAACCAGGACCATCCAAGGGTGTCCAATGGACTACCCCACACTACCTATAGGCTTCCATTGGGCACCCTTTGGATGGTCCAGGAATGAATGGATAAGCTCTACATTTGCAAACCTGCCTGTCTCTGAAGACACCTTGCCCCAATCCTTCATGACCAGGACCAGGACATCCGAGTCTTGAGCTCCCTAGTCCCCCTGGTTGGAGTTGGAAAAATGACATCCCACAGATCCTTTTCATATGTTTTAATCCTTCATATCGTCTGTTGGAGTTGTTTGTTTCTTTCCTCCAACGCCCGGGCCCTCTCCACCGGACGTATCACCGGAGACACAGGTGGACGGCAGCAGCCGCGCCAGGGTGGTTTCTCGCGGAAGAGCGTGGGAGGAGGCGCCGCGGATGGCAGGGGTGGAAGAACCTGCGCCGCTTTTTATGTGGCGCCATCCGGATTCTGCTGGGAGGGATGACGATGACAGGCAGTTGCTCAATTTTTCTTTTTTTTCAAGCTTTCCCAGTCCGAGGTTTTTGAACTTACAGAGTTCTTTTTGCTCTCCTATGAGCCTAGAATCCGTTGATGTCAGTGATGTTCCTTACACAATGATGCTTCTTGGCGACATGTCTGCGGGTTTGGAGGGCCTGTTAGTGATCCTGAGCTGAAAACCTGGCAGCCTTCAGAAAAAGGGGTTCACAATAAAGGATCTGGTTCACAGCAAACTTGAGAGATGCTCAGTATATGTATATTAAAAAAATCCTTGTATAATATATAACATGTATGACATTTAACTCATTTAACTCATTTAATGTGAGAAAACATGTTTAGTTTCGGATCACAAAGATATCATATACACAATCAGTTAGGTGTCCATTTTGGTTCACTTTTGTCACCACCGGACGCCAGAAGAGACGGCGGAGAGCCCGCAGAACGTCATCGAAGCGCCTCCGGTGTCTGGGCCGAAGGACATGGAAGCTGACAAGCTGAACGTCGTGGCCCATTTGGACTCTTCGGTCCCATTTCTCTTGAAAACATCGGGGCGACCTTGCGCAGATGGTTTTCATACGGACACCTTGAGATGTGTAACGAACATCACCCTAACTATCCACTTTTTTTTCACCCCAAACATCGAGTTTCCCAGGAAACGACCTTGGGCGCTGGCGACAGCTTCGGGGAGTTGTCCATTCTGTTCCTTGGCGAAGTGGAGCAACGGGGCGGTGTGGCATGGAGGCGAGAGCTTTCGGCAGCCGGTTTGGACGACTCCGACGCGTGGGCTGCCGGGAGCCGGGTGAAAGGGGAAAAAAAGGGCGATCCGTATTTCCCCCAAAAAGGGCGACTGTTGGGGTTCTATCTTGGTCCAAACTGTTTGGGGTCTATGCTGGTGTTAATTTGTGATGCATCGCATAGAGTTCAAAGCGAGCTCGTCCACTGTCCTCGTCGGACGACCGGACACGACATGGACAACAACATCCCCCCCGCCATGCCGACGACCGGACCGCGAACGGTGCGACCGCAGCTTGGGCCGAAGTCTGGTCGTAGCGAATCCTTGTTCCGTTCGTAAGGCCAGCGCCCCGTTCGTAGCGTCTTTGCTCCTAGCGATGCCCAAAATGCTCCGTTCGTAGCTTCCTTGTTCCTTGTAGTAAGAATGCTCCTGGTAGCGATGCCAGGAGCCCCTAGGCCCTAGTAGCGTCCTTGTTCCTAGTAGTAAGGCCAGGAGCCCCGTTCGTAGCTTCTTGTTACTAGTTTCCACTCGCTCTTTGGGTGAGACGTTTCTTCCAAACGTTTCGGCTCGAAAAAGAAGGAAGTTTTTGGTCCTTCCGAACCGGCCGATCGGGTGCGGGGCTCAAACCTACTCGAAGACGGTGCCCTTTTCGGTCGGTGAGGTACAAAATGCCGATGCACGCCACCTACTCAGCCAAGGACCGGGTCCACTCAACAGGTCGCCCGCGCACGCAATTCGACGCGCATGTCGAAGGCCGATGGAAGCCTGGCTCGGCCAGTCAGGTCGAAGGGAGTCCAGCCTTCATTGAGCTGCTTTTCAGGTCGAAGCGAAGGCCACAACGGTGGATCTCGGCCCGATCCAACGATGCATAGTGGACCCAGCTGAAATGACCCGACATGACCCGATCAACCACGTGTTAACAAAAATATTTGAAAAACTTGATGTTACCAGATTCGGCCCCACACCCCCCACCCGACGCCCCGCTGGACAGCGCCTGCAGCCTCGCCATGGGCGCCGGTGCCTTCAGTGTCAACGCGTCCGCCTTGTTCGCAGAGGCTGACGACGAGACACTGCTGAGCGTGCTTTGCCAAGATGTGAAAAGTGCCCAACGGCTGCTGCGCCAAGCGGAGCGGCTCTTGTGGCTTGGCGGAACTGGGCCAAAGATGAGGGAAGCATAGGCTTGTGCCTTGACCATTTGGTGAGAAGCGGCCATGACGCTCATAGTTCATCATGAATCTATCATATCTCGAACAGACAATATGTTCCCGCTGTTTCCATGAGCCAATGATTTACAGAACATACTGGATCTCACATATGTTCTTCACAGGAGAGTGCATGAGGTGAAATCGAGACATACGCCCCCCAAGCTCCCAATGCTTCATCAAAGTCCCCAGTAAGAACTTATTCTTCAGGGGGCAGGTGGTAGTGGAATGTTGGAAGTTCAACACCGAGGCCAGTGGCAGAAGCAAGGTGTGCAGAAGGACAGAGAGAGGATACAGAAACATTGCAACCATCAAAGACAGAAGCGGAGATCGCTGAAGGCAATACGACCAGACACACATTGAGCATCCATGGCATGGATGGCTCAACGTTTCACCTTTCAGTTGAGGATGCTACCACCGTGACCTGGATGTGTTGAATGATTATTTGTTCGGAGCTCGGCAGAATACAACCTAAGGGTAATTAATGCATTGTGTCCATTTGGCCGATTGTATTGGACACCCCTTTGATAACAATGTACTGTGGTGTCATTCGGTTGTAACTATAGAGCTCATGCAAGGTGGATGATCTATCAAGAATCATAGCAGAGAAAAGTGGCGCGACCAGTTCCGGGCGAAGGCTGGTGCTTACTTCTGGTGGTCAGGTCCTCGACCATTCCAAGCCGCTGCTACAACAACTGATTGGCGAAGAGGTGACATTCGTCGTCAGGAAAGTATCTGCTGGAGAGGCAGCAGTAAGTCTGCAGCGAGCCTTGGAAGGCGATGCGCCAGCCATTGATGGGATTGTCTCATTGATTTTCTCCGACATGTTCGACCAGAGCTTGGAAGGTGTCACCTTTTCAACTAGCCTGCAGACTTTGACCTTCGGCACCCGTTTCAACCAGAGCTTGAAAGGTGTTGCCTTGCCAAGCAGCCTGAAGACTTTGACCTTCGTTGAGTCTAGTGGTTTCAACCAAAGCTTGAAGGGCGTCACTTTGCCAAGCAGCCTACAGACTTTGACCTTTGGCCAGTACTTTGACCAGAGCTTGGAAGATGTCACCTTGCCAAGCAGCCTGCAGACTTTGACCTTCGGAAACAAGTTCAACAAGAGCCTGGAAGGTGTCACCTTGCCAAGCAGCTTGCAGACCTTGACCTTCGGCGCTTGGTTCAACCATAGCTTGAAAGGTGTCACCTTGCCAAGCAGTCTGCAGACTTTGACCTTTGGCGATGGCTTTAACCAGAGCTTGGAAGGTGTCACCTTGCCAAGCAGCTTGCAGACTTTGACCTTCGGCAAATACTTTATTCAGAGCTTGGAAGGTGTCATTTTGCCAAGCAGTCTGCATACTTTGACCTTCGACTATTTGTTCAACCAGAGCTTGGAAGGTGTCACCTTGCCAAGCAGCCTGCAAACTTTGACCTTCGGCTACAAGTTCAACCGGAGTTTGGAAGGTGTCACCTTGCCAAACAGCCTACAGACTTTGACCTTTGGCGCGGACTTTGACCAGAGCTTGGAAGGTGTCACCTTGCCAAGCAGCCTGCAGACTTTGACATTCGGCAACTATTTTGACCAAAGGTTGGAAGGTGTCACTTTGCCAAGCAGCCTGCGGACTTTGACCTTGGGCGACTGTTTCGACCAAAGCTTGGACAATGTCACTTTACCAAGCAGCATTCAGACTTTGACCTTTGGCGAGCACTTTAACCAGAGCTTGGAAGGTGCCACCTTGCCAAGCAGCCTGCAGACTTTGACATTCGGCTACAACTTTAACCAGAGCTTGAACAGTGTGACCTTGCCGACCAGCCTTCACACTTTGATCTTCGGCGATCGCTTTAACCAGAGCTTGGAAGGTGTCACCTTGCCAAGAAGCCTGCAGACTTTGACATTCGGCTACAAATTTAACCAGAGCTTGAAAAGTGTGACCTTGCCAAGCATCCTGCAGACTTTGACATTCGGCCAGAAATTTAACCAGAGCTTGGAAGGTGTCACCTGTCCAAGCAGTTTGCAGAGTTTGACCTTCGGCGAGCACTTTAACCAAAGCTTGGAAGGTGTCACCTTGCCAAGCAGCCTTCAGACATTGACGTTCAGCGACAACTTCAATCAGAGCTTGGCAGGTTTCACCTTGCCAAGCAGTCTGCAGACTTTGACCTTCGGCAAGGAATTTAACCAGAGCTTGGAAGGTGTGACCTTGCCGACCAGCCTGCATACTTTGACCTTCGGCAAATACTTTATTCAGAGCTTGGCAGGTGTCACCTTGCCAAGCAGCCTGCAGACTTTGACATTCGGCCAGAAATTCAACCAGAGCTTGGAAGGTGTCACCTTGCCAAGCAGTCTGCAGAGTTTGGTCTTGGGCGGGGACTTTAACCAAAGCTTGGAAGGTGTCGACTTGCCAAGCAGTCTGCAAACTTTGACCTTCGGCTACGACTTTAACCAAAGCTTGGAAGGTGTCGCCTTGCCAAGCAGTCTGCAAACTTTGACCTTCGGCGAGCTCTTTAACCAGAGCTTGGAAGGTGTCACCTTGCCAAGTAGTCTTCGGACTTTGACTTTTAATGGTGACTCTTTCGAAGAAAGCCTGGAAGATGTCGCTTTTCCTTCAGGCCTGCAGCACTTGACATTTCAGTATTTTACTATTTCTGTCAGTGCTTAGTGTGCTTTTGTATACAAACATCATCACCTTTTCTGACACAGGGAAGCTGTTGGTGTCGGCCAAGCCGCACGCACAGCCCCAGTCTGAGGAATGGAGATACTGCTGCGACTCCCCAAAAATGTGCGACGCAGACATGCCAACCTTTTTCTTTTGTCTTCCCTTTGGTCTGGTCAGTGACGGGTTTGCGGGTCCGCTAAGATGGGTCGCGTTGGTCGAGCACGGGTTTTTGGTGTGACGTTGGTCGATCTATGGGACGACGAGGTCCACTTCACACCCACAGCCTGTTATTGGTCCAACATATTGACCCATGGCCCGAAAAAAGGACCTAAACCGATTCAATTCGGAAGTTTCTCCTCCCACCCTTTCGCTGCACTGAGAGAGCACATCGAGAGGGGAGCCAGTTTGATGCGCAGCCGAGGGCGGGACTGGTCACAACCCGAGCCGAGAGGTTTCTTTGTGAAGCTATGACTTGTGGCGTTGCGTGCGCATGGTGGAAAGTCACGACCTTGCTTCTCTCCATCCTTGAACTCAGCAACTTGACCTCAACAGCCATTTACGTGTACCATGCTGGTGATCGCTGGATGTTCTCCATGTGCAAACAGCACCCTCACTGGTACAGTTGGTGCTCTTCGTCGTACCTTTTGCAACACTCTGACCGGCCCCGCTTTGCGGTGGATGCCGGCCGCTATGGGTGGGCGGTAAGCGAGGGTCTCTTCTGGGCATCATTTGTCTCGTTGGGCAGCAATTGACTTGTGCACTTTCGGCTCAAGCTGGTTTGCCTGGTTTGATCTTGCCACCTCCATTGTTGGGATCATTGTATGGCTCATACCATTCCTGAATGCACATGTGAAGAACCTTGCCGCTGGTCATGAGAAGGAGACAGAAGACGCACCAGCCCCAGCATTGGAGTCTGCATAGCTTGCTGCGGCAGTGCTGAAGACTTGAAATCTGCGCCTTCCTCTCAATTCTAATTCCGCCATGCTAGTCAAGAACTCAGTCGGGCGACCATTGAAGGCACATGAAGGTGTGCCATAATGATGATGCATGAAATTTGCTGACCTCCCCGGCGCTTGTGTAGTGTCGAATGCAGTCTAGGAATGTCTAGGATCTCTAAAGTCCTGTTACCACCGACATCATTGGTTCAATCGCTGGGAGGTTCAGTTGCATGACCTCTATTCAGTCTTCTTTTGGGCTCTTTCGCTTCATTTCGTGTCAGGAGAACTGCAGCATTTACACCATCGACTATCGGCACTTCTCCGCGTGCTTCAATCGGAGACTCGGTCAGACCTCGTCACGGGACGGCTGAACGGATTCGTCGAGCAACCGCCGTTGGAACCGTTGGTTTGGACCCTGAAAGGGCCGCCCGAACCGTGTTCTCGTTCGACAACCCGCTTTTGCCAGTCGTTTTGTTTTTTTGGCACCGCTTGGGAGGGTGGTGAATCTCTCAACTTTTGAGCACCGCTTGGGAGGTGAGTCTTCACACCCCGAATCGTTGGAACGGGGCGCCATCGTTCCCTTCATTCCCGGTTCCCACAACTGGGTGCTGGTGGCGAAAAATCGCCGTTCCTCTCCGGGGCGATAAGGAGAGGGAAGCGCTTCCACCAATTCCTGGAGCTCTTGGAGGAGGTTTCCTCGATGGCAAACGCGCGGGGTGTGGGTTTAGTTCATCGAGTTCCACCCGATGAAGCAGAGCCGACATCGGGGCGCCGACCTCCGCGGCTGTGCCCCGAGTTTTGGTGCTTCCGGAAAGGTGAGTAGGTTGGAGGCCATCGCTAGAAAAGAAACAAGGACAAAAAGAAAAGGAACGTAACGGTCCGTAACGGTCCAATCTCATCCAATACTATGGTAGAGGTCTCAATTGCGGAAAGGCCACTCCCTCATCGGCCGAACTCTCCTCCAGCGCCTTGCTGGAACGTACGGTCCTCGAACGTGTCCAGACGCCGAGGTCGCTGCGTCCAAACAGTCGCCTCGACCTCGTCGTTTCGTGATCCCCCGGGGAATGGTGAAGAGGTGGATCTGCTAGCGTGGCACTTGTTACTACTAGCTTCTTGTTACTACTAGTAAGGCACTTGTTACTACTGGCGTGGCACTTGTTACTACTAGAAGAGGTGGATCTGCTAGACCTGTCAGGTGCACATTCTTTCTCCTCTTCTGTACTCTGAACGCTTTGAATTGGCGTGCAACGCCATCGGCGCCCCGCCCGCAGCTATGACGTGCGCCGCATCGTGCCAGTCGTGGGAACAGAGATGGGCGGTGAAGAGGATGCCAGATTTGAAGGGATTTGGAGGATATAGATGTGGGTGAGTTCATGGAATGTTTCTCTCTACAACCTCACCGGATGCTTCAGATGAGGATGATCTTAGAAGTCGGTGAACGAAAATCCGATACCAGGTATATACATGCATATAGACGAGCCTATGTACTAATATATTTTTGCGAGGGTGACTGACTGACTTTCGCTTCTACCCTGTAGTTTCACCCATCCCTACAGAGGCCAATTGGCCCACTAAAGCCGTTCAGACGAAAACAATGATCATCGTAGTGAAGAAACTGCCTGACTAAGCCCAAAGCCCCTTCCCAATGAGGTCCCATGAGGTGTTAAGTTTATTCACAGCCTGTTAGTTGGTGGTTCCCAAGTTTCTTGGGGGAACATCGCGCCACATTTTTGCTGTTCCCTACTAACGACGACTCCGCTCCCTACTTCCCTGCAAAGCGGATCGGCGTGGCCGGTTCGAACGTGGCCAAACGGAGGTTTGGTGGACTTCAAACCTGGGGACCGCGTGCTGCATCAAGGCTTAGTCCGCTCGGCCAAGCTTTGGCACCTCGGACCGTGAGGGCGGGCTTTGAGGACGCATCAACGACACTTCACACGAGGGTTGTGGTTGGGTAGACGGGAAAGATGGGGAAGTGGGTGGTGAACCAGAGCAAGTTGGTATGGTTCTGGGATCTTTTGGGTGGATTGTCGAATTGACTAGCTGGAGGTAGATGAGGTGGATGGAGGACTCGGCCTGCAGAGGTCACTTCCGCTGGACTAGTTGTGACAAAGAATGTACGTACAAGTGCAGATTCTGCCATTCAAATAGGCAGCAAGGGTTGGATGCAAACATCCTCCTTGTTGAACTTTGTTTGACAAGTCCTCAAACAGAGCCGTAAAAACCTGCGGGGGTTTGTTGAAGGCGGCATTCACCCAGGGAGAGGAGCAAAATATCCATGTCCAGTCTCAGGCGGCACCCGGAAAATGTGGTGGAATTCCTAATGATTGTTCCCAGTAGCTTCTTGTTCCCAGTAGTACGGCCAGGAGCCCCTGGTAGCGTCCTTGCTCCTAGTAGCGATGCCCTTTGTTCCTAGTAGATTCTTGTTCCTAGTAGTAATGGCCTCCATCCTAATAGCGATGGGCTCCACCGTGCGTAGCTTCTTGTTTTGTCTGAGCGTGCTACCGTCTTTTTTATGGGGCAGCTCGCGTACGCGAGCTTGAAGAAAAACACATCCAAACAAGCTCTGGCTCTGTGGACTGCTGAGGTATGTCATCCATTCCGGCACCGCTGTTGTGCCTTTGCTGGGGAAGTGGGGCGGATTTGGGACACGTGACAGTGATGCCCAGTCGTAGAGAGAAAACCCGCAGCTCCTGGCAAGTGGAGTGGTGGTTCGGTGCCAGAACCTCGTCTCCGCCTTCGCCGGCGGCGCGCCTGGCGTGTTGCGGTCCACGGCCGAGGTCAGTTTAGACACGGAGAAGGATGGAAAGAAGGAGAGGGGGTGGACAGGTGAGACTTCTCACCGCCGAGATTGGCGAGCCCTCCTCTTTTTTTTCCCCAGGACGTCGTTGTTCTTGTTGGTTGGGCAAACAGATGAGTCCAGAAGTTTGCCTGTGGTTGTTATTGCAGAGTCCATGGTAGATTCAGCAATTGGACATATTCACCTCCCCTTGATTGCCGTGCAGATGGCAGTCGTCCCAACAAGATAATGCGCGAAGGAATACCGACCGGGCTTTAAAGTACATCGGTCTGGTGGGTTTATTAGCCACTGCTCCTCACCTCAACGACGGGCAAAAATCGCCACAAACAATCCAAGATGGTTCTTGATCTGCAGATGTAGATGGCTTTGGTTTCGTGCGCAAGTTGCAGGTTGTGTGGTCACACGATTGTCACACTCACCTCTCCCCACATGGTCCCCGCGTTTTTTTCTTTCGCGCCCGATCTTTGAGTGGTAGCAACACTTGCGTCTGTGACAGCTCATGTCCACTTGGGATATCCAGCTTTTGAAGCCTCATCCTTTCAGCCTCGTTTCAGCACTGCTTCTTGCGACCTGTCTGACCTGTCAGGAGAATGAAGAGTTGACCCACTTAAGCCGCGCCGCCCACTTTGGTGAGCGCTCCCTGCTCCGCCCGGGCCCACAGACCCGGACCCGCCGGACCCGGACCAGCTTCTAGCGTTAGCCCGTGGATTTCGACCGTGTGGATTTCGGTTTCTTTCTTTCTTTTTGTTTCACCAAAACCGTCCTTTTTTGACGTTTTTTTTTTTCCCGTGTTGTACCGATCGTTCGCCGGTCTTCTTCCCGTTCGTCCGTTCGTTCTTCCCCCCCCTCAGGCGGCGAATCGGCGGCTCCGGTGAACATCGACGCGGGACCGGAGGGTCTCTTGGACCGGTACGACCGGTAACGACCGGTACGACCGGTGTGAAGCGGTTTTCGCGCGGAACGAGAGAAGAGACCGGGATTGGAAGGCCAGTTTCTACGTTCGCTTCTGGTTACTAGTGCCCTTGCTCCTAGTAGCGATGCACTTGTTCCTAGTAGCTTATTGTTTGAGAGTCCAACAGGATTGATTTAAGTGAGTCAGTGAGTCAGTGAGTAAAGGGAGCTGAAGGGATGGAGGCGTAGTCCGTCTACCGGAAAAAGCAAACGAGTAAAAGGGATGTCTTTAAGTCTTTGTTCAAGTCTCACCTTTTTTCCACACTTCGAACGCACCCTTCCTGCAGTCTGGGGGCAGTGGGCCATTGTTTGAGGAG